AATTACATCAACCCTCAGCTATGATTTTTTCTTACATCCCCACCCTTATGGTGTCAAATTCAACATAATCAACTAGATTTCGTGAAATGTACTCTAGTTTGTACTCGTTTTGTTTTGTGTAAAAATACAGTTTCTGATGTAAAAATACAGTTTCCGATGCACCACAAGCTTAAAAACACATATTATGATCATCTTACTTTAAAATGTGGAGTTCGAATATGATAAAACGGGTACAAAAGTGATAATAATCCATATAATCTCGAAAATTCAACGAAATTTGAAACCGCAAGGGTGGACGTGTAGAAAGATTTATAGTTGAGGGGGTGGTTGTAATTATCCAAACAAGAGAGGTTTTTTTGTAATTTGACCATACCTCAGGGGTGATTGTAATTTACCCTATATATATATATATATATATATATATATATATATATATATATATATATATATATATATATAATGTTTTTAGCTTTTCTCTTTTTTTTTTTTTTTCTCTCTACTTTCTTACATAACCGAGAGCCTCGTTTTGTGCTTTTTGGTGTTGTCGTTATCAGTTCTGTGACGAAATAAAAGGCTGGACGAAACCACCGCAACAAGTGCCCAAATGCCTATTATCACATCTCAGAATTGTAAAGCTTTTCGACATTGAAGATGAAAAGCCCGTTTTAGAAATTATAAGATATCTTTTGAGGAATTCTAAAGTCTTGAATAGGATGGAAATAGCATATGGCGAACTTGTTGATTATGAGGAAAAGCTTGATATGGTCCAGAAGATCTCACTTTTTCAACGAGGGTCCGCTGCATGTGAAGTTGCCTTTGTTGCCTTTAGACTATAAGTTTTCGTAATTTCATCGAACTAGAATTGAAATCTGTTTGCCGTTTTCTCTCAAAAGACGCTCCAAAATGCTGATAATCTTGAAATCCTTATTTTCACCGAGGTTTGTTGATGCAATTTACAATTGCTTAGCTTTCCTCTTTTTTGTTGTCATTATCAGTTGTCTTAGAACTGCAGAATTTGTGACCAAGCGAAGGTCAAACGTACGAGTTAGAAATTGTAAGGGCATCGTTTTAGGGGTTGCATAATTTTAAGTTGTACAGTCTGTTGATGTCTATATTGAACAACGGCTTCAGATTCGTTTCATGCGATCTGCCCTCTTAAATTTTTATTTTCGATCGGGGGAATGTATATTACGTTGATGCCTATATATTTTTTTTACTGTTGTGTGATTGAAGTACATCCTTCTAATGCCAGAGTGCAATTTTAATTTATAAGATTAATTAATAAGATTGTATTTGTGCAATTTTTCTAATCCTTTTACGTTCATAATGTAAATTTAAAATTGAAAGTTAACTGTATTAAATATTTGATTTAAATAGTATGCTAGTTGATTATTTATTATATCGGTAAAAAAATATTCTTCCAGTTGACCTAAATTGGGTGGTTTTTCAGACCTAATTGAATTTCTCTAAAGGAGAGAGAATCGTTTTTTTGTCGAAATTCCTTCAACGATTGAGTACCTTTCTCAGTAATCGGGCGATAGATTTTTCTTCTTCCAACACAGATATCCTTGACTTTCCATTTTGTTATGGCGACAACGGAACAACAGTACAACAAAATTCGCCGGAAGCATTCGCACGGTGAGCAAAATGCTGTCTCGATTGATCGACTCAGCGATCTGCCGGACTCAGTCCTCTGTCACATTCTCTCTTTTCTCTCAACTCATGACTCAGTGGCAACCACCATTCTACGTCCCCAATTTATATTTCGACTCGGAAGATGAAAAAATCATCAACAGGGTTATGCTGCTGCGCAAAGTGCAAACAGTTCATACTTTTCATCTCGACTGTGAAATCTACCGCAGCGCCTATCAACTGGAGACGTGGATTGCCTTTGCCGTTATTCGCGGCGTCCAAAAACTCGATCTTTGTCTTCAAGATGAAGATGTCTTTCCTTCTTTACCTAAATGCCTCTTCACCTGCAAAACCCTAGTTGATTTGAGGCTCAATTCCTGCGGTGTAATACCCCTAATTGGTGCCGTGTGTTTGCCTCGCCTAAAGATTCTTCGTTTAATCTGCGTTCAATTTGAGGCCGATGAGTCCCTCCCACACCTGATTTCTGGCTGTCCAGTGCTTGAGGGAGTTGGAAATCAAATTAGAATTCGATATGGTTTACTGTAATGTATCTTCACCTACGTTAAAAAGGCTCGTGCTCGAATTTATGAACGAGGGTTGTGGTGGTATGTGACAGGTTGGAGATCAATGCCCCCACGCTCGAATATCTCCGGATAAATCACTGTTGTTGTGAGCATATCAAATGTGGGGTGCTGGCCTCCTTAATTGAATCAGAAATAAATTTTAATTCTCGACATCTGCTGGCATTTGTTGGTAGGCTATGCAACGTCAAGTGGCTAACGTTAGATTTTTCACAATGTACTGAGGTATGCTTTTGATCTTTCAAATCGGCTCATTTTCCATTTGTTTAGTAGTGTCGATCTTATACTGTCTGTGCAATTTCGTCGCAGATTATTATTGATTCAGTAATCTCTGCTTGGACTATAAGTTTTCGTAGTTTAACTGAACTCGTTTTGACTGCTGATTGCTGTTTTCTCTCAAAGTTCCTCGAGATTGCTGACAATCTTGAAATCCTTACATTCGAATTCAGTGAGGTTTGTTGATGCAATATACAAGTTTTTAGCTTTCTTTCTATTATACGTTCTTTACTTTCTTACATAAGTTTACGCAAGAGCCTTTTTTTTGCTTTCGTTGTTGTTGAAATCAGCCTTGCATTTATAGCTGGGCGGAACCACCACAACAAGTGCCCACATGCCTATTATCAAATCTGAGAATTATAAAGCTTCTCGATATTGAAGGCAAAGATTACGAGTTTGAATATATAAGATATCTTTTGTTGAATGCGAAAGTCTTGGAGAGGATGGAAATATCATATACACAATGCCTTGGTTCCAATGAAGAGATTAATATGCTAAAGAAGATCTCTCTTTTTCAACGAGGATCCACTGCATGTGAAGTTGCATTTGTATAGTCCATATCGAAAAAGCACGGTTGCTTCAGAATTGCTTTATGCACTCACGCCTTGTAAACTTTTCGATCAATAGCTCCGTTTTTATAGTTTGTGATAAATAAAAAATTGTCTTGTAATTTCGGAGAGAGTGGAAAGGGTTTCGCCAGAAGATTGTCTACGAGGAGCTCGTAATTGACACATGGCTTCAATTTTTTATTTTTTTTTGAATTTAGCCAACAGGGTTATCTTTACAAGGTTCTTGATTGAGCTAGAATATCGGACGGCCAAGATAACATATGAGGTGATGTTGGCTTTCGGAACGGTTTTGTTCAATCTTGAATGCGGCTTGCTTTATATATATATTCACTTATTTCTCGATACAAAATAAATCAGCTCAAGAACAATTTTCTTACTATCTTTGATTCATTCGAGCGACTTGCAATTATATTCGTCGTCCTTGTTTAGCCCAAGTGCAACAACAAGTCTATTGAGGCTCGTATGGATCTACAAAGTGAATAGATGTTCAAAGTTTGGCTCCAACCCGAGTATTTTAATCTCTAATTTTATCTAAAAGGAAGTCAACGAATCAACCCAACGGCTGATTCCGTCCATAATTTCGTCGGAATTGGATTTTTATGAAAGGGTGTATTCGTCACTTTAAGATGAACCTTTTCCACTCCAAATTGTAACTCATTGGATTTGTATGAAAGGGTGTTTTCGCCTCTTTAAGATGAAAGTATGATTTGACCTTTTCCACTCCAAATTGTTACTCAGAGCTACGTAACACGAAAACTTCAACTAGTTAACATTTACGCGTTTCGGACTCGTTTCGTGTCCAACACTCGAGCACACCTGCCGGACAGCTTGTGAGCTATTTTGCAATTACTAAAAAGTTGGAAACATGTTTGAATAGATTTTCAAATATTTTTGTTGCTTCTCTAATTGTTTACATGATTTAATTTAATGATCAATTGTAAATTGATAGTTGATAGTAAAATATATTTTACATGTGTTTGTATGAAAATATAAAAAAATAATTTATATATAAATAAAAATTTATATATGTTTATATAGCATATTTATTTATAAATATATCCATATATTTACACGTTTCTCTCATGCTGCCGTATCTTCATTTATTACTATTGCGCAATGAACTTTACATTTTAAAATATCAATAGTAAATTACACCCACACCCCTTAGGTATGCTAAAATAACTTTAAGGTCCATATAATATCAGTAATTACAAGTACCCCTAAAACATTGTTAGAAACTCTAACAGTATAATGCATTGGTCCATGTAATAATATCCAATGTTTCAGGGATGATTGTAATTACCGATACCATAGGGACCTTCAAGTTATTTTAGCATACCTTGGGGTGTAGGGGTAATTTACCCAAAAATCAATTTGGGGTGTATTTGTAAATATGTAAAATGCTTAAAATCAAACATTTCCTTCAAATTCCTTCTCCGGCCAGAGTAGTCGTTGTCTTCTTCTTCCTCCTCCCAACCTAGAAATCCCCCCTTTCCATTTCCCTACATGGAGGTAGCAAAACAGTACAGCAGAAGGCGGCGCCGGAATCCCTCAATTGACAGGCTTAGCGATTTGCCGGACTCGATTCTCTGCCACATTCTCTCTTTTCTCCTAACCAGGAACTCCGTCGCAACCAGTATTCTATCTAGAAGGTGGAGGTACCTCTGGTCTTTTGTCCCCAATTTAGATTTCGACCTTGAAGTTGAAAGTACCGCCATAGATAGGGTTTTACTGCTACATAAACTGCAAAAAATCGATACTTTTCGCATCACAGAAGGGTATGGCTACACCGACTGTCAAATTGAGACATGGATTAGGTTTGCAGTTGAGCGCAATGTGAAAAACCTTGATCTTCATTTTGGTTACGAAGGTTGGGTACCTCCTTCACCGAAATGCCTCCTCACCTGCAAAACCCTAGTTGATTTGAGGCTGACAAATTGCACTGTGTTCCCTGTCACTGGTGTCGTGTGTTTGCCTAGCCTCAAGATGCTTCATCTGCAGTTTTATCACGCATACGAGACCCTTCCGCACCTTCTTTCTGGGTGTCCGGTGCTCGAAAACTTGCTACTCCAATTATATTTTAATTATTGTTCTTGTAGAATATCTTCACCGACAATCAAAAGCCTCCGGATCAATTTTCATTACGATGAATGTGACAACGAAGACGAGGGGGAAGACATTTACGACAGGCTGGAGATAGATACCCCTGCCCTTGTTTATCTCGAGTTAATTGATAGCTCAAACCAGCATATCAAATGCGGGCCACTGACCTCCTTACTTGGAGCAGATATCAATTTTCACAATTATATCGACAGGGGTTTTCTTCATTCTCGAGCTTTGGTGGAATTTATCGATAGGCTACATAACATCCAATTCCTGAAATTAGATTTGTCACATTATTCAGAAGAGGTGTGTGTTATAGATCCCTTTTCAGCTCATTGTATATTTGTTCAGGAATGGTAATCTTACATTTTGAGTGTGCATCTCTTTTCCAGATTGCTCACGCAGCATTCCCTGCACAGACAACAGCTTTTCGTAACTTAATCGAACTTGAGTTGACTGCCGATTGCCTCCTTCTTTGGAAGTTCCTTGAAAATGCGGATAATCTTGAAATCCTTATCTTCTCTGAGGTTTGTTGATGCAATATAAGCGTAATTTGGCTTCCCTCGTTCATCTCTTCTTTTCAATCTTACGTAATAAGTGATTAGCCTATTTTTTGTGTATATGTTGTCGTTATAACCAGTGTTGTGAAGAATTACAAGGCAGGGCAAAACCACCACTACCTGCGCCCAGATGCATATTATCTCGTCTCAGAATGATAAAGATTGTTAAGATCAAGGGTAAAAGGCACGAGTTTGGATATATAAAATATCTTTTGAGAAATGCTAAGGTATTGAAGAGGATGAAAATAACATATTCCGAACACCTCGATTCCCAGAAAATGATTAATATGCTAAAGAAGATCTCACTTTTTCGACGAGGATCCAGAGCATGTAAAGTTGCCTTTGTTGGTGATCGTTAAGGGACTGATGCATAATTACACATTGCAAAATCCCTTTATCCGTTAAGGTCATAATGTTTTATCCAGAAGATTTCTTTGAGGAGCTCCGATACCAGTGCTTGTTTTGTTCAAATGCAGCCACTTTAGACTAACTTATAGTTTCCAACGTGATCTATTTATGGGTTGGTTTTAACGAAAGAGGATTTAATTTATCGAACGAGTCTTGAAGTTAATTACATTTCCTCCAATACTACCTCAATTTTTTTGTAGCAGGAAGTGTGCAAAGATTGTTGTGGGGCTTCGATATTGGAGGCTTTGTACACTATTACCAATCTGTCTCGAGTTTGCTTGATTTACATTCGTTTTCGTTCTTCTTTTTAGTACAGATTAAATAAGTTCAAAAACCTTTTTATGACCATTTGTTGATTCATTAGAGCTGACCTGCAAAAGTCCTCCATTTTTATAAACTTGTTACTATTAATTGCCAAAATAAAAGGGGAAAGGTGAAGTTGAATCGCAACAAACACAGATATATAACGCTCCATTTATATTTAGGGTCGAAATTCTACATATACTCTACATAAATTATGGCTCCAAAATCGAAAAACCCAGACATCAAAAAATATCTGTCGATGCATTCGGTAAAACCAACTGTACCAACCCACCCATAAATAATTAGTTAATTACCAACAAGAAAAGCTTGGCTGCTTTCTTCTACTTCATCCATGGTGACTGGTAAGAGCTTTTCCAGTTGAACTATTCGGTCGTAAAACCCCTCGAGTTTCAGACCTAATTGAATTTCTCTGAAAGAGAAGAGAGAAAATCAATTTATTTTTTCGGTGATGATTTCTAATCCAGATGCCCCTTTTCTTTTCCTTTTTTTTTCCATTTTGTTATGGCGATATCGGAACAGCACCGCAAAAGGCGGCGGAAGCATTCGTACGGGGAAGATAAATATGGTGTCGATTGATAGACTCAGCGAGTTGCCGGACTCAGTCCTCTGTCACATTCTCTCTTTTCTCTCGACTCGGGAATCCGTGGCAACCGCCGTTCTAAGTAGAAGATGGAGGTATTTTTGGTCTTATGTCCCCAATTTATATTTTCCCCGCCAAAATCAGGATATCATAAATAGGGTAATGTTGCTACATAAATTGCAAACCATCAATAGTTTTAGCATTCACAAGAACGAATGGGACCGATATCAACTCGACTCGTTGGCTGCCTTTGTCGTCGGGCGCAGTGTGCAAAAACTCGATCTTTGATTTCATTGTCAAGATGCTTTGCTACATGTACTTTGCCCGTTTTTGCATTTTGCCACCTTAACAAAAAATATTTGCACGGCACGCCCAAAACCATCATTTTGACTCACTTAACCACCTCGGGCGAATTTTTAGTCGAATCTTCACAAATTATGGCGTTGCGCGACGCCCAAGACTAACTAGATGGGTTTTTTTGTCTTTTTATCTGAAGATATCATATCGGGCGAAATTGAAAGTTTCAAGGACTCAATTGAACTTAATTTGAAACTTGCCCGAATTCGAAATTGATTAAAATAAGGGTAAATTACAACCACCCCTGAGCCCGAGGTATGGTCAAATTACGAAAAATACCCCTCATGTTTGGATAATTACATCTTGCCCCTCAACTACGAATCTTCTTACACCTCCACCCTTATGGTCTCAAATGCAACATAATCATATAGATTATGTGGAATGTTCTCTAGTTTGTACTCGTTTTGTGCGAAAATAAAATACAGTTTATGATGCACCACAATCTGATATATACAAGCCAAAAAACACACCTTATGATCATCTTGCTTCAATATCTGGAGTTCGAATGGGATAAAACGGGTACAAAATTGAGAATATTCCATATAGTCTGAAAGATTGCACTAAATTTAAGATTGCACTAAATTTGAAACCGCAAGAATGATCGTGTAATAAGATTTATAGCTAAGGGAGTTGATTATAATTACCCAAATAGGAGGGGAGTTTTCATAATTTGATCATACCTCAGGGGTGGTTGTAATTTACCCTTAAAATAAAGCTTTGGGTTTTCTTCTCCCACAGGAGTTTCTCCCCCATTAATTTTCACATTCATAGTTATGAAGCTCAATCTCACAACCGGTATTATTCCTTCTCTCAATGTCTCTGCTGGTAGGACCGGAATCCGTTGCATATCAAATTTTCAGTTTAGAACGGTTGGGTCGGTTTAGGGAACGGATGAACACCCTACAACACCTTAATAAGAAAACAAAAGTGTAAATTAAATTAAGGTCCATGTGGTATTGATAATTACAAAGACCCCACATCTTAACAAGCGGTGACATAAATTTTGATGGAGGGGTGCATGTGGGGTTATTTCAAATATTACAGGTGTTGTTGTCAAATAACAAAAGTTTCGGGGCATTGAATTTTTTCTGGGGACTTACAAAAAAACACAAACCTATCTCCTCCTTTGCATCACCTCCGGGCAGCCACCACGATAACCAAACATTTTCACAAAATTCTGAATACATTCATCAGCCGGTTTATTGTTCTTCTTCGAACCACAAATCACAATTCCCCAATTTTTTTAAAAGGCGATGACTGAACAGCGCAGCGGAAGGCGTCTCAAGAGTTCGCAAATTGATGATAGGCTGAGCGATTTGCCGGACTCAGTGCTGAGTCACATCCTCTCTTTTCTCTCAACTCAGGAATCCGTGGCAACCACCATTCTCGGTAGAAGATGGAGGTATCTATGGTCTTACGTCCCCAATTTAGATTTCGATTGCGTAAATCAAGAGATCATCTACCGTGTTTTGTTGCAGCATAAATTGCGCAGCCTGACTGCATTTCGCCTCCATTACGCCACTCGCTGCAGCGCCTATCAACTCGAGACATGGATCACCTTCGCCGCTGCGCGCAACGTTCGAAAACTCGATCTTTGTCTCAAAGATCACGTGTCTTCGCGTCGAATTGCTCTGCCTCGATGCCTCTTCACCTGCGAAACCCTAGTTGATTTGAGTCTCGATTCCTGCGGTGTCGTCCCCTCAAGTGGTGCAGTGCGTTTGCCTCGACTCAAAAAGCTTGATCTATGGTATCTCGACTATGAAACCCACGAGTCCCTCCCCCGCCTGATTTCTGGATGTCCGGTACTCGAGGAGTTGTCGATCATATTTTACGGGGATATTGTTTATTGTAATGTTTCTTCGCCTACGATAAAAAAGTTCTTGCTCAAATTTACATCCGAATATTGCGGTGGACCCGACAGGCTGGAGATAAATACCCCCGCACTTGAATATATCGAGATAAATGATTATTTCTTGAATATCAAAATCAAATGTGGGGTGCTAACCTCCTTATTTGAAGCAAATATCACACTTCAAAATGACGGTCAACTTTGTTTTCAATCCCTTCGGAAATGTTTGGATAGTCTTTGCAATGTAAAGTACCTAACGTTAGATTTATCAAGATGTGTAGAGGTAGTATGCTTTCGATCTTTCATCGCCTCATTAAATTCCTCCATTTCCTTACTAGTTGCAAGCTTACAGTGTGCATGAATTTGTTTACAGATTATTGATTCCGTACCCTCACCTTGGACTACAAGTTTTCGTAACTTAACCCAACTTGAATTGATTGCTGATTGCTGTTTTCTCCCAAAGTTCCTCGAAATTGCTGATAATCTTGAAATCCTTATTTTCACCGAGCAGGTTTGTCGATGTAATATACAGTTAAAGCTTTATAAATTAGTACATTCGGCACCAGCCAAATTTTATTAATTTATCGAAGTATTAATTTAACGAAATATCTTTTAACACGTTGCCTTCGAGTCGGGACAGGGAAAACATATTATTTAAACGAGGTTATTAATTTATCTAGGTTCTACTGTAAATGTTTTTTTTTTCCTTTTCTTTTTGGTTTTCTTTATTGTCTTGAATAATATTTGAGAAGCTCTTGGTTTGCTAGTGTTGTTACGATCAGCGTTATGATGAAGAAGAAATAGAAGGGTGGAAGGAAACACCGCAACGAAAAGTGCCGAGATGCCTATCATCACATCTTAGAATCATAAAGCTCCTCGACATCAAAGGTAACAAGCACGACTTTGAATTTATAAGATATCTTTTGAGGAATGCCCAAGTCTTGGAGATGATGGAAATAGCATATGCCGAAGCCCTTACCCTCGAAGAAAAGGTTAATATTCTCGAGAAAATCTCACGGTTTCAAAGAGGATCCAACAAATGTGAAGTTGCCTTTGTTGATGTAAAAGTCACTTGATTCCTAAACCACTGTTAGTTTCATAATTGCTTTATGAACCCACCCCATGTATGCTTTCGTCTTTATTTTCGCTGTTTGTTATTATTGTGTGATGACAAAACAGTCCTTGTTATTGCCAAAAGAATGGTGACAAGGTTTTGTCCTGAAGATTGTCAATGAGAAGCTCCCAGATTATCACATGTCTTCATGTCAAATTAAACACACAGACATTGACTTTAAAGCCTGCGTGTATAACGAGTTGTTATTGTTTACAGTCGAAATTCTACATAAACTACGGCTGGGAAACTTACAGTTTTCATCCCTCAAGTTTGTACCGATTTCACATTTGGTCCCCCATGTTTACAAATAAAACACATGTGGTCCCTCATGTTTCAATAATTCAACACTTTTAGTCATTTCTGTCGAAGTCGTTAATAATAACAAAATCAATCGTGTGCCCAACACTGCCTTAACTGACGGACTAACAGTAAAATGACAGAAAGGAACAAAAGTGTTCAATTATTGAAACAGGAGGGACCAAATATGTTTTTTGTGAACATGGGGAACCAAATGTGAAATCGGTGTAAACTTGAGGGATGAAAACTGTAATTTTCCCAACAGTGGCTCCAAAAAAATTGTTAAAATCAAACACACAGACATTGACCTTAAATATTGCTTGGGTATATATATACAAGGACTTTGTAGTCATAGGCCATCTCTTCCGACTTCTTCGACCCTACACCCGGTGATAAACACCGGGTAGGTCTTCTGCTGCCACATGTCTTTTTTAGTATTTTATAATATATTTCTCCGTTAGGGTTTAACCTTAAGGGTTTTAGAAAAAAGGACACGTGACAGCAGAAGACCCGCCCGATGTTTATCACTGGGTGCAGTGGCGTATCTAGTGTGGTCCAAGGGTGTGCTACTGCACACCCTTGATTTTAAAAAAAAATTATTTCCTATATATTTATCATTATATAACTGCAAATGTAAAACTTTGTCAATGCATGCTGTAGCTTAACTGGTTAAGTGCTCTATAGAATTCGTCCGAGGTACAGGGTTCGAAACCTGAGAGTCTCAACCTCTCATATTATTGTTTCTTTTTTATTCCTAATTTTCAATTACATACAATATTTCAATTGTTTTAAAAAATGTTGAATATGTGGGTATTTTTTAATATTAAAAAAAAAAATCTCCTAATATAACATATATTTTGCTATTTGTAACTTTAACTTATTTACCATTTCTTTAATATTAAATATAATATAAATTATTCCAAAATTCAATATTTCAATTGTTTTAAAAAATGTTGAATATGTAGGTATTTTTTAATATTTAAAAAAAATCTCCTAATATAACATATATTTTGCTACTTGTAACTTTAATTTACTTACCATTTCTTTAATATTAAATATAATATAAATTATTCCAAAATTCTAAATATTGAATATATATATATATATATATATATATATATATATATATATATATATATATATATATATATATATATATGTGTGTGTGTATTATTTCAATTTTTTTCTATATTTACAACTATGTGGGTTTTTTTTTTCTTTTTGAAAATTCAAAATCTGCTAATGAAACGTACATTTTGTCACTTGCAACTATAATATGTTTACCACTCGTTTAATATTTTCACCAATTTTATGTCTAAATATTTCCTAAATTTGCCCAAAAATGGTAAAATAATCCCTTTAAATTTAAAAATTTTAAAGATTTTTTATTATTTAATGTGTATAGTATTCAAAAAAAAATAAAAAATCGGGGGCGCAGCCCCCGAACCCCCGTAAACTATTAGCCAATCATTATATTTTTTACTATATTTAATTTCGAACACCCTTGACAAAAATCCTGGATTCGCCACTGACTGGGTGTAGGGTCGAATGAGCCATCTCTTCCCGTAGTTGAGCTTGCTCTTTCATCGTCCGCGTCTAGAATAATATCCAACGGCCAATATAACATACGAGACACGATTCACAACATGCATGAGTATACCATTCCACTATGTGTGGAACGTTAAATGCATTCACTTATCCCTTTTGTCTCTCATGCTCTCAGGTATAGTTCTTGCCTATAAACAGGAAAGACGAAGAAATGAGAGGAGCCGTATTGAATGATGCAAACTTCACAGCAAACTCAGATAATCTACAGTTGAAATTATCGCATATGGATTATGATATGTAGTCTCGTATAATCTACAGTCAAATAGATTAGAGATTTGCCGTTTCGGGCTCTACACCTTGAAATATAAGGTTATGTTCGGGAATTACCGGCTTACTAGAAATTTTATTAAAAACAACTAAAATATTAATTAAAAACCCTACAACACCTTAGTAAAAAAAACATAAAGTAAATTACAATCAACTCCTGAAATATGCAAAAATAACTTTAATGTCAATATGGTATTGATAACTACAAACACTCCATAAAAGTAACAAAATGTTAGAAATCCTAAAGTCATGGGTGGTTGTAATTACGAATACCACATAGACTTTAAAGTTATTATATCATACCTTATGGGGTAAGGTGGTGTTTGCAAAAGTTTTTTGAAAGTGATTATGAGTTTTTTTTTTGCTCATAATCTGTTTTCAGGTGTTTGCAAAACCAACTTTTGATTCTCTTAAAATAATCTGATTTAAGCTATTTTTTTACAAAACACTCATAACCCTCCTTTTCTATTTAAGTTCATTTTCCGAAATATTTGCAAACATTCCCAACTTTTAGAAATAAGCAATTGAAACTGAACAATCACTAACTTTTGTTTTTAAATAATCATTTGCAAATACCACCTAAATGTAACATTTTGACTCTATTAAAAAATCTATCAAATTATTTTTAAACTTATTTTAGTCGTTGGCACCATAGGGGTAATTGTAATGAATAAACAAAAAAGAAAATAAAAGTCCAATTTTAACTTCAAATTATTACAGCATACCCGATTTAGGGTTTTTAATTTTCGAATTTTAAGCTTCGTCCTTTTACTGATTTTGGGTTTCCAGATTTAGGGATTCTAATCTTTCCAAATATAAATAGAAACTGGACCCTATTTTTCTTCATTCGTTATAATTACCCCTAGGGCACCAACGACAATTAAATAATGGTCAAAAAATTAGAATTTTTTATTTATTTAATAATGTTCAAAATATTACATAACCCATTAGGGTATGATATAATAACTTTTGAAGGCTTCATGGTATTCGTAATTACAATCACCCCTAACGTTAGAGCAACTTTAATGGATGCACTAAATGAGGTATTAAACTAAAAAACTACCACTTTCATACTTCAAAACTAAAAAATCCTCCTCCAATAGAGGCTAAAAATGAGAATCATTTTGATACTCAACCAACCCGAGGTGCAAAAATACTCCCTGAAAAATGAGGTATCAAAAATATAACCACCCAATTAACCTATCACTATTTGACACGTGTCACTTTAAAATATAATTATTCATATACTTCAAATTTGATAATCTATTTGATACTTGTGGTTGGAGTGAATTTTTTTTCAAGAGTATCAAAGTATTATATAAAGCATCAAATGAATATTTGATGCTCCATTTTGATATCTTCCCATTGGAGTTGCTCTTAGGGTTTCTTACATTCCTTTAGTTTTAGGTGTGATTGTAATCATCAATACTATATAGTAACCTTAAAATTATTATAGCAAACCTCAGGGGCTGTTTGTAATTTATCAAAGAAACAAATAGATTTTGTTGGGGGGGGGGGGGGGGGGAAGGGGAAAAAAAAAAAAACCCCCCATTGTTCTTGTGCCCCAACGCTCCAGACTTTGTGGAAAAGCCCATCGCCTTCGTCGCATAAGGGCCGAACAAAAAAAAAACCCTTTCTTTTTTCGCCATTTTGTCATGGCGACAACAGAACAGCGCGGCGGCAGAAAGCGCCGGAAGCGGGAAAAAATCGACCGGATTAGCGATTTACCGGACTCAGTGATCTGTCACATTCTCTCTTTCCTCCCGACCAAATCCTCGGTAAGAACCAGCATTCTAGGTCAAAGATGGAGGTTTCTCTGGGCTTACGTCCCCATTTTATATTTCCACCGCGAAAAGAAAGAATTCATCAATGGAGTTATCTCGCTGCATAAAATGCACACCATTTCTACTTTCCGCCTCCTTCTAAGGAAGAAACACTACGACAAGCATCAACACATCGCATGGGTTACCGCCGCCGTAAATCGCAACGTCCGAAATCTCTATCTGGTTTCCTTATCCAATTACTACATGCCGTTGCCTCAACATCTCTTCACCTGCAAAACCCTAGTTGAGTTGGTCCTCAATAGCTGCCACGTCACCCTCCCGAGTTGCCCCGTGTATTTGCCTCGCCTCGAGAAACTTCATCTAATCTCCGTTCGATTCGAGGCTGATAATGAGTCGTCGTCTCTCCCCCACCTGCTTTCTGGTTGTCCGGTGCTTGAGGAGTTGGAAATCGAATGTTCGTTGAACTTTTTTACTCTTAGTGTATCTTCACCCACGCTGAAAAGGCTCAGGATCGCTCTTGAGGTTGGTGGTGGTGATGATGATGATGTAACTAAATTGCTCGAGTTAAATACCCCGTCGCTTACGCACCTCCAATTGGGTAATTGTTTCTTCCGGAATATCAAATCGGGGGCGATGACCTCTTTAATTGAATCAGATATCAGTCTTTGTAGTTACGAGGGGGACGAAGAAGAAATTTTTGTTTATTCTCGATTGCGCCTGGAATTTATCGATCGACTCTGCAATGTCAAGTCATTGGAATTAGATTTATCTCGTTTTACAGGGAGGGTATGTCATACATTCGAGTGTGTGTGTGTGTGTGTGTGTGTGTGTGCGCGCCCGTTCAATTTTTCATTGACTCAATTGTCCATTTCTTATTATCTTTACAGATTGTTGATTCGGTACTCTCTGCTTGGAGTTGGACTATGAGTTTTCATAACTTAACCAAACTCGACCTAACCGCTGATTGTCGTTTTCTACCAAAGTTTCTCGAAAGTGCTGATAATCTCGAAATTCTTATTTTCACCGAGGTTTGTTGATGCATATGTACAAATTTGTGTATTTCTTTTTTTTTGTGTTAGTTTACGTCGTTATTTGCTTATGTTGTTGTTATTATCAGTTTTATGAAGAATCGAAAAGCTGGACGGAACCTCCACAAATGCCGAAATGCCTGTTATCGCATCTTAGAATTATAAAGATTGCTCGCATCAGAGGTAAAAAGCACGAATTCGAATATATAAGATACCTATTGACGAACGCTCTAGCGCTGGAGAGGATGGAAGTAGCATATTTGCGGTTACTTGATTCCGAGGGAAGTTCTAATATGCTCGACGAAATCTCACGGTTACGACGAGGTTCTAATGCTTGTGAAGTTGCCTTTGTTCATTCTCGATATTAGTCATCTCTTGAGAATTGCTCTCAAATTTGCCTCTGTGTTTGAACTGAAAGCGACTATCTTTACTTTCTAATATGATTTATTCTTTCATAACTGTATTGCCCAATCAATCCACAATGTGGCTTGCTTTATCTTTAATATTTAGACCTCGTTTGGTTGGGGAGATTAGCCATGATTAATAGAATAATAGTATTTTGTTTGATGTTTGGTATTCTCAATAATTTATCGGTCGACCCGCAAATATTATGTTATCGTGGCTTATCTGGCCTCTTAAGCATGTCTTTTTATTGGATCATCAAGGTCCAATAATATAATTAAGTTTCATTAGAATATTTGATCTTATCTTGGTTAATCTTATCTTAGCAACCAAACAAGACCTTAGTATATAATTAATTAACAGTTAGTTTACTACTCCATTTGTTCAAATTAACTGTCACTTTGGGGAGGTTTTCTTGTTTCATATTATGTGTCACTTTATAATTCCAATGATGCATTAATTATTGTTTTCTCAATTATACATTTATTAGTTATTACTCTTAATTAGTTGTGATATAATTAATTACATGGGTATTGTAGTCATATTTTATGTCTTTTCCTAAAATCTACACATATTTATTAATTTTCTTAATATGTGCGCAACAACCTAAAACGTCAATTAATTTGAAACCGATGGAGCAACTTTGACTGGCTTATATTTGGTAGGGGCAACTAAAACAAATCCCAATTTTTTCTCACTTCAGTACCTTCAAGTTTAAAATCATTTTTTTATAGAAGTTTTTACAACTTTTTTTAGTTTAAAACCATAAATAAAAAAAAATGTTAGCAAAGTACAAAAACACCCTTCATCAACCAAAATACAATTTATACAAACAATTTTTTCATTCCTCACTTCATACCAAGGAAAAAAAGAAAAACAAATCCTCTTTTCTTCTCCCCAAACTCAAATCCCTTAAACCCTATCTTCTTCATCTTTTTAAATCCTCCAAAACATCTCCAAATTCAAAAAATCAAAACCTCACAAAACTTATAAAATGGAGTTATAAGACAATAATATGGTAGTATATATGGAAAGAGAGAACCCATTAAGGTATGTATCCATGTTTTTTTTGAGCTTTCAAGTCGATTTTGAAGTTTTTTTTTAAACCCGCCGGCAATTTTCGACACATTCAGGTCGATTTTTTGGTCAATTTAAAAATATGTTTGTATAAATTGAATTTAGGTTGATGAAGGGTGTTTTTGTACTTTGCTAACATTTTTTTTTATTTATGGGTTGAAACTAAAAAAAGTTGTAAAAACTTCTATAAAAAAATGATTTTAAACTTGAAGGTACTGAAGTGAGAAAAAATTGGGATTTGTTTTAGTTGCCACTACCAAGGTGTC